TTTGTCCTCCAATGCCCACCCCAATCCCAAACCAACATTGTGAGTATGAAAAAGCCTTTAATCTTAACCTAGGCCAAAAAGCTCTTCCCCTAATCATGAACCAGACCCTGCCAGCAGAACAACAAACCTGTCAAAGTTCTGACTAATCCCCACCCTGAGCTCTAAAGCCCAAGCCCTGACCATGAAGCACCCCCACAGCCCTTGGGAGCAGGGCAAGGACCTGCAGGGCCCAGAGCAGCCCCAAGGGGTTGGCAGAGCAATGGGAGGTGACCTGGATCTGCTCAGCTCTGCAGGGACCCCCAGCAGAAGGGCCTGGGCTCTCTCAGGGATGTCCTGGGGCACAGGGGCTCAGCATCCAAGCCAAGAAGGCCAAGTGCACATGGCAGCAGCCAGAGCTGGGGGACAGCAGAGCCATCAGGAGGGCCCAGAAATGCTGCTGGGAGGGGGTGGGAAAGCAGGAGGGTGTGTGCAGCCTGCAAGGCCAGAGGAGCAGCAGGGCCAGGGAGCACAGCCTGCAGCAGAGATGGCCAAGGGCTCTGGCAGGGCTGCAAGGCCCAAAGGCACCCAGGCCTTTGTGCCCTTGGCTCTGGCAGCTGCCTCTGCCCCTCAGGCCACCACAAGCAACTTTCCTTTGTCTGCCTGCACTCCTGGCCTGCAAGGATCTGCTCGAAGGAGTCCCTGGGGAGGCTTTGTCAGTGCCTGCCCTCAGTGCGGCCCAGCAATGCTTCGAGGGACTTGGGCTTTGTCTTCTGACTTCTTGAGCAGCTTCTTCCATCTTCTCTCTATCTTTGAGGATGACGGACTTGTCTCTAAACACACTGTGGGGCTCATTAAAATACAGACAAACAAATTATTTTCCTTTCCTTAATTGTTTTCATGTTTTCAATTCTTCGAAGACTAATTGGAGTTGTTTTGTAGTTTAGCTAAGGAGGAAGATTTTAAAGTGGAAGTCACAAAAATATAATTTTCTTTGAAAAGGAGTGATTTACACAGAGCCTTGGGATGCAAGAGGGTCAAGGTGCAAAGGATTTGGACACAAAGATAAGGGGGCAAAAAAAAATTAGTAGCAATTTCAAAGTGAGTCTTCAAAGTTTGTACTTTTTTTTTTTTTTTTTAAGTCAAGGATAGATATTTTTTAATTCAGAAGAGAGGTGATAGAGGTGTTCTCCAAGTGATCTTGATGCTGAGTGTCTCCTCAGCAGATCCAGACTAACCCTGTATGATCAGCCTTGCTCCTCACCCCCCAATCTCACCAGTTCTGACATGGCCCATCTTGGACTGACATCCCCCTTCTTGCATTAGACTTTGAGCTCTACAACTTGTTGTTCCAGCCCCATGGCACCATCTCCCACCTGCTCTCCTTAGAGCTCTGCTTGAACACAGGTCCAGGAAAGGTTTTCCTCTCTCTAAGAAAAGACAAGAAATGTAAAGCAGGAACAACCTCCCTAAACATCCAAACACCTGTAAGCACATGCTCAGTACAAGCTGCCTCTGATGATGTCACCTTTCTATCAGGTTTTTCACAGGTCCATACAAACACAAGTCGATAGAAACACAATTCAGGAGCTTGCTAAGGAGACAATCAGACTCCTGAATTGACAAACAAGCTTTCACCTCCCTTCCCACATGCACAGGTGAGAGGGATCTGAATGGAGAAAGAGGAAGGAGAGCAGAAAACTGGGAAGGGTCTTTGTCTTGACAGTCTGTGTGAGAAGATGATCATCGAGATGGTCAGTGTGTCAGGCCAGGTGTGAGGATATGAGAGATTGGGGAAACTCAATAGCCCAGATAACAGGCAGAACAGTGGTGCTGAAGCTGCAGGGGAAGAGTGAGACTCCTTTGGAATGTCCCTTTTGAAAGGCCCTGGAATTGGTAGAGCTCTGCTGGGAGTGCAGACAAACCAAGGTGGCACCATCTGTGACAGGGGCCAAAAGTGCAGGCCAGGGAAGCACAGGCTGCACAAGGTGCCTTTGGGGAGCAGTGAGACAGGGAAGGGCTCCAGGGGGTGACGTGTCTGGCACTGAAAGAGAAGAGCAGGAGCAGGGACTGTCCAAGGATAAATCAGGCCCCACCAGCCTGGAGGGCTTCATGATGAAGTAACTGCCCTGGTGCACAGGGGAGGGAAGGGGGATGTGTTTGAGCTCCCCTTCAGCTCAACTCTGGGCCGGGCCAGGGAGGGGATTGTCCCACTCTGCTCTGCCCTGGGGTGGCCTCACCTGCAACACTGGGGCAGTTTGGGGGCACACAATGGAAGGGAGAGATTGAGCCATTGGAGAGTGTCCAAAGGAGGCCACGAGAATGCAGAAGGGCCTGGAGGGGAAGGTGTGTGAGGACACTGAGGGCACTTGGTGTGTTCAGCTGGAGAAGATGACACTGAGGGGAGACTTCACTGCAGTCACAACTTCCTGGGGAGGGGCAGAGGAGGGGCAGGCCCTGAGCTCTGCTGTGTGGGGACCAGGGATGGGACTGGGGGAATGGCCTGAAGTTGTGTCAGGGAAGGGTTAGGTTGGATCTTAGAAAAAGGTTCTTTTCTCGAAGGGGGGTTGGCACTGAACAGGCTCCCCAGGGCAGTGGGCAAAGCACCAAGGCTGAAAGAGCTAAAGGAGCATTTGGATGATCCTCTAAGGCTCATGGTGAGACCCTTGAGGATGACCCTGTGCAGGGCTAAGGGTTGGACTCGATGATCCTTGGGGGTTCCTTCCAATTTAGCATATTCTGTCATTTGTTGATTGGGTTTGGTTTGGTTGTGCTTGGTTCAGGACACAACACATTCTCATGGTTCTTCAGGAGAAAATTAGAAGTGATTTCGTTCTAGAGGTCAATGTTGAAGCAGCCCAGTCTGCTCTGGCCTCACTGCAGTGCCCACCCCAGGGAGCTGCAGAGCTCTGGGCACTCCCCCACAGCCCCAGCCCCTCTGAATGGCACAGCAGATCCTGGGGCACAGAGAGGAGTCTCACCATCCCCATCAACTCAGGGGCTGGACACTCAGCATGGCAGCAGCAAATTGAGCTCAGGACAACTGCAGCAGCCCTGGTGTCATCTGCAGGAGATGCCCAGCACAGCCTGACTTGCCCCTCAGTGCCAGCCCCTCTGCCCAGCCCATCACAGAGTCCTGGCCCAGGGACAGAGCAGCCTGTCCCCAGGGGGCCTGCAGAAAGAGCTTTCTCTGTGCCATGGATTCCTCTGTGCAGGCACAGAAATGCTGCCTTGCTGTTCTGCAGGGACATCCCTTTGCCCAGGGCAGTGTGTCCAGGCTGCCTTGGGCAGTTGCAGATCCCAGCCTGGGATCCCTGCAGGGCCCTGAGCTGGAGGGGCTGCTCTGCAGAGGGAGGGGCTGTGGCACCCTGGTCTGTCCCTGCACTGGCCATGCTGGTCAGGGTGGGAAGCAGAGCCAGCAGGATGGGGATCCCTCCTCTCCACCCTCTTCCATCTCCCTGGAAGGCTCAGTAGTCAAGAACAAGGCTGGGCAAGACCATGAGCTGTTTGCAATGGCACAGAGGGCAGGGCAGGGCTCCACTCCATCCAGCCTGTGGGCTGCAGAGTTCTTCAGGACACCCTCCTGGAAAGCCCAGCCCTGGCTCTGGTACAGCCCTCCCTGAGCTGGGCAGGCACAGTGCGAGTTCACTGCAAGTGGTCCTGTTATTTACACCAACCTCTTAAAAAGAATAGAGACTTCAGGAACTTCCCAGGGGGATCCCCTTTTCCTGATGGAAATGATGTTAAGGAGCCCAGCTCTGTGCCAACACTGCCAGGGCCTGTCCCTGCCCATGGTCCCAGCACTGACCCACAGCAGTGACTGAGCTGCCAGAGCACTCAGGCCTTGGGCAAGGAGCAGAAAGGAGAGGGAGGCAGTGGAAAAAGAGCATCTCTGAAAAGCCCAAGAGCTGCTGCTCCCTGGCAGTGCTCGTGTCCCAGGACTCTTTACCCCTTCTCCTCTGCACACAGGCACTGCCCTCCAGCTTCAGGGAAGTTCTTGGAGCAAGAATCTGGAGAAAGGATTCAAGTCCTTTTTTATACTGAAAGATTGTGATTCCTCATGTACAGAATAACAAAGGCAGGATGTTTCACCAAGAGGTTCCTGCAGGACCTTTTATTTTCTTTAAATGCACATAAAGAATGATTCCTGTTTACAGATTGTGAGTCAAAACAAAGAGGAGAGAGTCAATTAGATATGGGATGAAGAATAAATTTCTGTGTTAACAACATTAAGAATGGAAAAAATACAGTAAAGTTCCCCCACTGCCACTCTCAAAAGCTTTAGAAAGCAGGCTGGGCCAGTGAAAGGTTACACAGTGAGAGTTCTGCAGAAGAAAAGAAGCAGGTTATTGCTCCTGAAAAGCATCCAGTCATCATTTTCCTTATGGCATCCCTGAGCTCCTGGTTCCTCAGGCTGTAGATGAGGGGGTTCAGTCCTGGAGGCACCACTGAGTACAGAACTGACAGAGCCAGATCCAGGGATGGGGAGGAGATGGAGGGGGCTTGAGGTAGGCAAAATGATGCAGTGCTGAGGAACAGGGAGACCACGGCCAGGTGAGGGAGGCACGTGGAAAAGGCTTTGTGCCGTCCCTGCTCAGAGGGGATCCTCAGCACAGCCCTGAAGATCTGCACATAGGAGAAAACTATGAAAATGAAACAACCAAACGCTAAACAGGCACTAACCACAAGAAGCCCAATTTCCCTGAGGTAGCCTGAGTGTGAACAGGAGAGCTTGAGGATGTGTGGGATTTCACAGAAGAACTGGCCCAGGGCATTGCACTGGCACAGGGGCAGGGAAAATGTATTGGCTGTGAGTAACAAAGCATTGAGAAACCCAGTGGCCCAGGCAACTGCTGCCATGTGGGCACAAGCTCTGCTGCCCAGGAGGGTCCCGTAGTGCAGGGGTTTGCAGATGGCAACGTAGCGGTCGTAGCACATGATGGTCAAGAGGGAAAATTCTGCTGACATGAAAAAGGCAAAGAAAAAGAGCTGTGCAGCACATCCTGTGTGGGAGATGGTTGTGATGTTCCAGAGGGAGTTGTGCATGGCTTTGGGCACAGTGGTGCAGATGCAGCCCAGGTCTGTGAGGGAGAGCTGCAGCAGGAAGAAGTCCCTGGGGGTGTGCAGGTGCTGGTCACAGGCTACGGCGCTGAGGATGAGGCCGTTGCCCAGGAGGGCAGCCAGGGAGATGCCCAGGAAGAGCCAGAAGTGCAGCAGCTGCAGCTCCTGCCTGTCTGAGAATGCCAGGAGCAGGAACTGGGCCATGGAGCTGCTGTTGGGCATTTGCTGCCTCTGGATGTGGGGCACTGTCCAAGGAGGAAATATCAGTGACATGTTAGGCAAAGAACTTCTGAGAAAAATCAAAGCCATTTCCCAATAGGCCCTCCCTGCTACGCTTCCCAAACTGTTTTGTTGGGTTTTTTTCTTCAAATTTCCCTATCTCTCCTGAGGAGTGTTCCTGGATGTCAGAACCTCTCAGCACTTCTGATGCGCTCAGGCAGAACAGAGCAGGTCCTGCCAGGCAGGAGGATTGTCTGGGGCTTAGTGCAGAGTGAGGGGAGCTGGTCTGTCCCTCTCTCTTGTTCCCAACTGCCCTGTGTTGGCTCCTTCCTGATATGGAGATTGATCACACTCCCAGTTTGGTCTGAAAAGCCCCAGACACTGCTGAGAGCAGAGGGATCCATCCCACACCCCTCAGTGTCTCAGCCTGTCTCAAGGGCTCAGCACCCCCCTTGTAGCCAAGGACACCCGTGGCTCATCTCACCAACCCAACAGCATCTCCTGGGCTGGCACAGCAGCTCTGCCCCTCTGCACTGGGCAAGCTGAGAAACAAGGAATGCACAGGGAGGGGCCAGCTGGGAGAGGCCAGGGCAGAGTCCACTGGGCACTCAGGGCAGCCTCACCCTGAGCCAGCTGGGCCACCTCCCACACACCACCAGTGCCAGGAAGGTGTTCTCAGCCCTGTGCAGCTCCTCAGAGGTCCCCCTGGAACTCAAACCACCAGGCATGTGGCTTGAGAGCTTGAGAGAAATCCCTCCTTGGACCTTCCCCTTGAAGGATCCCCTGGAAAATGTGCTGGGCTGCTCTGGTTGTGTGAGCAGCCCTGCCCCAGGAAACTCTCAGCTGATAAGGGAAGAAACCTGCCCTGCCCTACCAGGCTTTGTTCTTTCCCCCCACAGCCCCTGCCCAGCCCTGAGGGAGCTCCCCAGCCCGGCTGAGGCTGCCCCTGGCAGGTGGCAGAGCTGCTGCCCCGGCACAGCCCCTGGGCTGCAGGACCCTGCTCTGCAGGACAGCTTGGGGCAGCCTGGGGGGCACAGCCCGGCTTCACAGCCCTGCAGGAGCCCTGGCAGAAGGGAACCCTGCTGGGATGGGCCTGGGATGCTGCAGCAGGGACTGGGATGTGCCAGCGCTCGCAGATCTTTGCCCAACCTGCAGACACCTTGCCCTTCCTGCTGACTGACCTAAAACCAACACCCAGGGAGGAGTCTTCCTAAACTCTGAGGTGTTACTGAGGGGAACAGCAGGTCAGGAAACATCAATATCCAATTAGCCAAGGGACAAGCCCAGGGACTTTCTTCAAGAGAAAAATCTGAATTCACACAAACAGGTCATCCTAATACTTTTCATGTTTTCCCACAGTGTTTGTGCCATTTTCCTGTGAGTTTCATCTGTCTCATCGAGGTCTCATTCAAAATGTCCAAGATACAATTAAAGTTTGCATGAGAGAAAAGTCATCATGATTGTTTTCTAATCTACCAACTTTATAATAGAATTACATAGAAAAAATAAATATTCTTTTTTAAAACCAAAACAAATCACTGAGATACCCACCTTTATTTTAGTTGAATGCTTGAACTCAAAGCAACCATTCACATGCAGATGATCCACATAGCAGCAATGCCTGCTTGTCCCCAAATGTTGTCTCTCTTGAACTCTCAGGTGTCTCCCTGCTCCAAAAATCTGGGCTGGAGCCCAGGGCAGGCCGGTTTTGCTCCCAGGAACCTGCCAGAGCCCTTCTTAGGTGGTGCCAATCTGCCAGGCAGCGTTTCCCAAAGCTGGAGGAAGCCTGAAAAGGAAGGAAACTTCCCCAAACCCAGCCAGGTTTTTCTCAGCAGCTGAGCTGCTGCCCAGAGCCTTTGTCTCCCTGCACTCAGGGCCTCCAAGGAGCTGCTGCAGAGTCCCTGGGGAGGCTTTGTCAGGAGGGGCCCTCGGGGGGCTCCCTAAGGCTTCAAGGGACTGCAGGATTTTCAGAGTAATTTGGGGTTTGCTTTTGGTTCTGCATCTCTGAGAGGTTTGTACAGCCCTGACCTCCAATTATCTGCTGTAACGAGTCCCTTGAGAGCCTCAGACAGTGACAACCCTCAGTGGGTCATTAATGCTTCAGTGCACTCAGGGTTTCTTAAAACACTTCTTTTTGACACTGAGTCTCTGAGAGGTTTGTTCAGTCATGACCTCCAATTATCTACTTTAAATAGTCCCTTGGGATTCTCTGTCAGTTGTGACACTCAGTAGAGCTTGTTAAAGCTTCAAGGTACTACAGGTTTGTTAAGGTACTTTGCCTTTTCCTGTGAGTTTTTAAGAGGTATTTGCAACCATGGCCTCCAATTCTGTGTTTTAATTAGTCCCTTGAGAGACTTTGTCAGTAGTGATACCCAGTGAGGCTCATTAATGCTTCAAGGTACTCAAGGTTTTTGAAGGAACTTTTCCTTTTGAAAGTGAGTCTCTGAGAGGTTTGTTCATTCATGGCCTCCAATTATCTGCTCTAATGAGTCCCTTGGGATTCTCTATCAGTTGTGACACTCAGTGGGGCTCATTGATGCTTCATAGCACTCAAGGTAAATTTATTAAGACACTTCTTTTTGACACTAAGTCTCTGAGAGGTTTGTTCAGTCATGGCCTCCAATTATCTGCTCTAAGGAGTCCCTTGAGAGCCTTTGTAAGGAATGGCCTTCAGTGGGGCTTGTTAAAGCTTCAAGGTACTACAGGTTTGTTAAGGTACTTTGCCTTTTCCTTTGACTCTGAGTTTTGAAGAGTTTTGTGCAATCATGGCCTCCAATTCTCTGCTTTAATTAGTCCCTGAGAGACTTTGTCAGCAGTGACACTCAGTGGGACTCATTAATGCTTCAAGGTATTCAAGGGTTTTGAAGGAACTTTTCCTTTTGAAAGTGAGTCTGTGAGAGGATTGCTCAGTCGTGGCCTCCAATTCTCTCCTCCACCGAGTCCATGAGGAACCTGTTTTGGGAATGGCCCTCAGGGGGACCCATTAATGCTTCCAGATACTTTGGGTTTTTCTTCTGACTTTCACTGATGGACAGGTTTGTACAATCTCCCCTCAGTACCTGAGGTTCAAGGACTCAGCAACAAAAGCCCCCCGGGGCTCATTCCGATAAAGCAAGTCCTGACAAACCATGGCCCTTCCTGTGATTTCCCTCTAGTCTAGACTGTAAATTAGGAATGTTGTCTCATGGAATCAGGGGACCATTGTGACACTGCCCAGAGCCTTTGTCTGCCTGCACTCCTGGCCTGCAAGGATCTGCTCGAAGGAGTCCCTGGGGAGGCTTTGTCAGTGCCTGCCCTCAGTGGGGCCCAGCAATGCTTCAAGGGACTTGGGCTTTGGCTTCTGACTTCTTGAGCAGCTTCTTCAATCTTCTCTCAGTACCTCAGGTTAATGGACTTGTCTCTAAACACACTGTGGGGCTCATTCAAATACAGAAAAACAAATTATTTCCCTTCCTTTAATTGTCTTCATGTCTTCAAGAACTAATTGAAGTTTTTTTGTAGTTTAGCTGAGGAGGAAGATATTAATGTGGAAGTCACAGATTTTTTTTCTTTTTTTTTTTTCTATGAGAGCAAGTGATTTCCACAGAGCCTTGGGATGCAAGAGGGTCAAGGTGCAAAAGATTTGGATCCTAAGATAAGGGGGAAAAAGAGATTAGTAGCACTTAATTATTGACCAACTTAACACTTATCACATTATTCAATAGCATTTGCTAGTATTTTAACAGTGACTGAATTATAGATTCCCAATAACAACACTCACACCACAATCAGTTCATACCCACACACAGGCAGAGATGTGTGAACACATCAAGATCTGAGTGTGTAAAGGTCCCTCTCCAAAATTCTCAGAAGCACCTCATGGAACCAAAGGGAGTCTGGGACTGTAACAGTCAGGGGCCTCATGGGACCACAGAATCCTGGGACACTGTGGAACCTCATGGAACGATCGGGCATCTGTGACTCTGCCAAACCCCATGCAACTTTAACTTTGTTTAAAGATAAACTCTGGGGCTGGAACTCAAATAAAATAAACTCCTTCCCTTTTTCTTTCCCACCAATACAGAGACACAAAGTGAGAGGAAGTCTAAGTTGAGAAATAAGTTTACTGACAAGGAAATAGCAGCAACCAAAAAGATAAAAAGGGAAGGGCTTACCCACAAAGAGAGGAATTCCCTGCCCACCAGTCCCCCTGGAATAAAGGGGACACATAGTGGAGGGTCCTCTCCTCCAGTCACCGTCAAAAGAAACAGTGGAAAAATAGTTCCATTTTCCGCCCGACCTTTTTTTTTTTTTTTCTTCTCCTTCTTCCCCTCCCTGCTTGGACTTGGCAGGAAGGGAAGGAGAAATTTGTCCTTAAAGTGACAATTCCTACAACACAGTGTTGGAAAATGGAGTAAAATTCAAAATCTCCTGTAACCATGACATTATCCACACCTGTACTCTATTCCTTTTTTTCCTCATGTTAACACTTACAATTATGAACTATATACATATACACACACATTTACACTACATAAATATAATCAGATATCATCATGGCTGGGCTTCAGAAATGAAGATTTGAGAAGGGTTCTACCCACGCTTGCTACAAGTGTGCTGATGGCTAAAAAGGCCAATGTGAGGTAGACAAGTCCGGTTGCAGAAGGCACAGCAGAAAGACGTCGCAACGCAGGCAAGGCAAGGTAAGGCAGGCAGCAGCAAGGCAAGGCGGCAGCAAGGTATTGGCAGGCAATGGGCAAGTGGTAAGGTATCAGCAGCAGGCATTACATAAGAGCAGCATATCACACACATGGTTCACAGAATTAAACTCCATCTATAATAACACTCTCCTCTCTCTGGCATCCCTGAGCTCCTGGTTCCTCAGGCTGTAGATGAGGGGATTCAGTGCTGGAGGGACCACTGAATACAGAACTGACAGGGCCAGATCCAGGGATGGGGAGAAGATGGAGGGGGGCTTCAGGTGGGCAAATGCTGCAGTAATGATAACAAGAGATACCACTACCAGGTGAGGGAGGCACGTGGAAAAGGCTTTGTGCCGTCCCTCCTCAGAGGGGATCCTCAGCACAGCTCTGAAGATCTCCACATAGGAGAAAACAATGAAAATGAAACAACCAAACCCTAAACACACACTAACCACAATGAGTCCAATTTTCCTGAGGTAGCCTGAGTGTGAGCAGGAGAGCTTGAGGATGTGTGGGATTTCACAGAAGAACTGGCCCAGGGCATTGCCCTGGCACAGGGGCAGGGAAAATGTATTGGCTGTGTGCAGCAGAGCATTGAGAAACCCAGAGGCCCAGGCAGCTGCTGCCATGTGGGCACAAGCTCTGCTGCCCAGGAGGGTCCCGTAGTGCAGGGGTTTGCAGATGGCAACGTAGCGGTCGTAGCACATGATGGTGAGGAGGGAAAACTCTGTCCCAAGAAAGAAGAGAAGGAAAAAGACCTGTGCAGCACATCCTGTGTAGGAGATGGTTGTGGTGTCCCAGAGGGAGTTGTGCATGGCTTTGGGCACAGTGGTGCAGATGCAGCCCAGGTCTGTGAGGGAGAGGTGCAGCAGGAAGAAGTCCCTGGGGGTGTGCAGGTGCTGGTCGCAGGTTACGGCGCTGAGGATGAGGCCGTTGCCCAGGAGGGCAGCCAGGGAGATGCCCAGGAAGAGCCAGAAGTGCAGCAGCTGCAGCTCCCGCCTGTCTGCAAATGCCAGCAGGAGGAACTGGGCCGTGGAGCTGCTGTTCACCATTTGTTGTCTCTGGATATGGGGACCTGTTCAAAGAGAAAAGGACAGTGACAAGCTAGGGCAGAACATTCTGAGAAAAATCAGACCTGTTTTCCCCTCTCACTGCTCCATTGCTCTTCCTTTTCTAGGAGTCTCTCCTTCAGCTCCATGACTGGAGCCCTGTTTGGGGTTCACTACATTTTCCATGAGGAGCAGACCCTGTGCCCACTGGTTGTGAGGGGTCAGCCCTGCTCTGCACCCCTGGGGTCATGGGCACGGTGGGGACTGGGGCCTGTCCTGGTGTTCAGCTGTGACAGATGAAACTGGTCCCAGTGCAAGAGTGCTTGTCAGCATCTGCACTCCCAGAAGAACCAAGAGAGCAGAAGGCAGTTCCAGAAGTTTGGGTTTGTTTTTATTTTTCAGACTCCCCTCATCTCTCCTGAGGAGTGTTCCTGGATGTCAGAACCCCTCAGCACTTCTGATGAACTCAGGGAGAACAGAGCAGGTCTTGCAAGGCAGGAGGATTGTCTGGGGCTTAGTGCAGAGTGAGGGGAGCTGGTCTGTCCCTCTCTCTTGTTCCCAGCTACCCTGGGTTTGCTCCTTCCTCAGATGGAGATTGATCACACTCCCAGTTTGGTCTGCAAAGCCCCCAGACACTGCTGAGAGCAGAGGGATCCATCCCACACCCCTCAGTGTCTCAGCCTGTCTCAAGGGCTCAGCACCCCCCTTGTAGCCAAGGACACCCGTGGCTCATCTCACCAACCCAACAGCATCTCCTGGGCTGGCACAGCAGCTCTGCCCCTCTGCACTGGGCAAGATGGGAAACAAGGAATGCACAGGGAGAGGCCAGCTGGGAGAGGCCAGGGCAGAGCCCACCGGGCACTCAGGGCAGCCACTCCCTGAGCCAGCTGGGCCACCTCCCACACACCACCAGTGCCAGGAAGGTGTTCTCAGCCCTGTGCAGCTCCTCAGAGGTCCCTCTGGAACTCAAACCACCAGGCATGTGGCTTGAGAGCTTGAGAGAAATCCCTCCTTGGACCTTCCCCTTGAAGGATCCCCTGGAAAATGTGCTTGGCTGCTCTGGTTCTGTGAGCAGCCCTGCCCCAGGAAACTCTCAGCTGATCAGGGAAGAAACCTGCCCTGCCCTGCCAGGCTTTGCTTTTTGCCCCCACAGCCCCTGCCCAGCCCTGAGGGAGCTCCCCAGCCCGGCTGAGGCTGCCCCTTGCAGGTGGCAGAGCTGCTGTCCCGGCACAGCCCCTGGGATGCAGGGCCCTGCTCTGCAGGACAGCTTGGGGCAGCCTGGGGGGCACAACCCGGCTTCACAGCCCTGCAGGAGCCCTGGCAAAAGGGAACCCTGCTGGGATGGGCCTGGGATGCTGCAGCAGGGACTGGGATGTGCCAGCGCTCGCAGATCTTTGCCCAACCTGCAGACACCTTGCCCTTCCTGCTGACTGACCTGATACCAACACCCAGAGAGGAGTCTTCCTAAACTCTGAGGTGTTACTGAGGAGAACAGCAGGTCAGGAAACATCGATATTCAGTTAGCCAAGGGAAAAACCCAGGGACTTTTTTCAAGAGAAAAATCTGAATTCACACAAACAGGTCATCCTAATACTTTTCATGTTTTCCCACAGTATTTGTGCCATTTTCCTGTGAGTTTGATCTGTCTCATCGAGGTCTCATTCACAATGTCCAAGATACAACTAAAGTTTGCATGAGAGAAAAGTCATCATGATTGTTTTCTAATCTACCAACTTCATAATATAATTACACAGAAAAAGGAAATATTCTTGTTTACAACCAAAAAAAATCACTGAGATACCCACCTTCATTTCAATTGAATGCTTGAACTCAAAGCAACCATTCACATGCAGATTATCCACAGAGCAGCAATGCCTGCTTGTCCCCAAATGTTGTCAAAGATGCAGCCTCCTCTTTTGAACTCTCAGGTGTCTCCCTGCTCCAAAGATCGGGGCTGGAGCCCAGGGCATGCCGGTTTTGCTCCCAGGAACCTGCCAGAGCCCTTCTTAGGTGGTGCCAGTCTCCCAGGCAGCATTTCCCAAAGGTGGAGGAAGCCTGGAAAGGAAGGAAGCTTTCCCAAACCCAGCCAGGCTTTTCTCAGCAGCTGAGCTGCTGCCCAGAGCCTTTGCCTCCCTGCACTCAGGGCCTCCAAGGAGCTGCTGCAGAGTCCCTGGGGAGGCTTTGTCAGGAGGGGCCCTCGGGGGGCTCTTCAAGGCTTCGAGGGCCTGCAGGATTTTCAGAGCAATTTGGGGTTTGCTTTTGGTTTTGCATCTCTGAGAGGTTTGTGCAACCATGGCCTCCAATTATCTGCTGTAACGAGTCCCTTGAGAGCCTCAGACAGTGACAACCCTCAGTGGGTCATTAATGCTTCAAGGCACTCAGGGTTTATTAAAACACTTCTTTTTGACAGTGAGTCTTTGAGAGGTTTGTTCAGTCATGGCCTCCAATTATCTACTTTAATTAATCCCTTGGGATTCTCTGTCAGTTGTGACACTCAGTGGAGCTTGTTAAAGCTTCAAGGTACTACAGGTTTGTTAAGGTACTTTGCCTTTTCCTGTGAGTTTTTAAGAGGTTTTTGCAACCATGGCCTCCAATTCTCTGCTTTAATTAGTCCCTGAGAGACTTTGTCAGTAGTGACACCCATTGGGTCTCATTAATGCTTCAAGGTACTCAAGGTTTTTGAAGGAACTTTTCCTTTTCAAAGTGAGTCTCTGAGAGGTTTGTTCATTCATGGCCTCCAATTATCTGCTCTAATGAGTCCCTTGGGATTCTCTATCAGTTGTGACACTCAGTGGGGCTCATTGATGCTTCATAGCACTCAAGGTAAATTTATTAAGACACTTCTTTTTGACACTGAGTCTCTGAGAGGTTTGTTCAGTCATGGCCTCCAATTATCTGCTCTAAGGAGTCCCTTGAGAGCCTTTGTCAGGAATGGCCCTCAGTGGGGTTTGTTAAAGCTTCAAGGCACTACAGGTTTGTTAAGGTACTTTGCCTTTTCCTTTGAGTTTTGAAGAGGTTTGTGCAATCATGGCCTCCAATTCTCTGCTTTAATTAGTCCCTGAGAGACTTTGTCAGCAGTGACACTCAGTGGGACTCATTAATGCTTCAAGGTATTCAAGGGTTTTGAAGGAACTTTTCCTTCTGAAAGTGAGTTTGTGAGAGGATTGCTCAGTCGTGGCCTCCAGTTCTCTCCTCCACCAAGTCCACGAGGAGCCTGTTTTGGGAATGGCCCTCAGGGGGACCCATTAATGCTTCCAGATACTTTGGGATTTCCTTCTGACTTTCACTTATGGACAGGTTTGTACAATCTCCCCTCAGTACATGAGGTTCAAGGACTCAGCAACAAAAGCCCCCCAGGGCTCACTCAGGTAAAGCAAGTCCTGACAAACCATGACCCTTCCTGTGATTTCCCTCTAGTCTAGACAGTAAATTAGGAATGTTGTCTCATGGAATCAGGGGACCATTGTGACACTGCCCAGAGCCTTTGTCTGCCTGCACTCCTGGCCTGCAAGGATCTGCTCGAAGGAGTCCCTGGGGAGGCTTTGTCAGTGCCTGCCCTCAGTGGGGCCCAGCAAGGCTTCAAGGGACTTGGGCTTTGTCTTCTGACTTCTTGAGCAGCTTCTTCAACCTTCTCTCAGTACCTCAGGTTAATGGACTTGTCTCTAAACACACTGTGGGGCTCATTCAAATACAGAAAAACAAATTATTTCCCTTCCTTTAATTGTCTTCATGTCTTCAAGAACTAATTGGATTTGTTTTGCAGTTTAGCTGAGGAGGAAGATATTAATGTGAAGTCACTGATTTTTTTTCTTTTTTTTTTTTCTATGAGAGCAAGTGATTTCCACAGAGCCTTGGGATGCAAGAGGATCAAGGTGCAAATGTATTGGATCCAAAGATAAGGGGGAAAAAGAGATTAGTAGCACTTAATTATTGACCAACTTAACACTTATCACATTATTCAATAGCATTTGCTAGTATTTTTAACAGTGACTGAATTATAGATTCCCAATAACAACACTCACACCACAATCAGTTCATACCCACACACAGGCAGAGATGTGCGAACACATCAAGATTTGGGTGTGTAAAGGTCCCTCTCCAAAATTCTCAGAAGCACCTCATAGAACCAAAGGGAGTCTGGGACGTGGTAGAATCTCATGGAATCAAGGGGCTTTTGTCACCCTCTGGAGCCTCAAGGAATCACAGGGACCACTGTAACAGTCAGGGGCCTCATGGGACCACAGGAATCCTGGGATACTGTGGAACCTCATGGAACGATCGGGCATGTGTGACTCTGCCAAACCCCATGCAACTTTAACTTTGTTTAAAGATAAACTCTGGGGCTGGAACTCAAATACAATAAACTCTTTCCCTTTTTATTTCCCATCAATACAGAGACACAAAATGAGAGGAAGCCTAAGTTGAGAAATAAGTTTACTGACAAGGAAGTAGCAGCAACCAAAAATATAAAAAGGGAAGGGCTTACCCACAAAGAGAGGAATTCCCTGCCCACCAGTCCCCCCTGAAATAAAGGGGACCCATAGTAGAGGGTCCTCCCCTCCAGTCACCGTCAAAAGAAACAGTGGAAAAAGAGTTCCATTTTCCACCCGACCTTTTTTTTTTTTTCTTCTCCTTCTTCCCCTCCCTGCTTGGCCTTGGCAGGAAGGGAAGGAGAAATTTGTCTTTAAAGAGACAATTCCTACAACACAGTGTTGGAAAATGGAGTAAAATTCAAAACCTCCTGTAACCATGACATTATCCACACCTGTACTCTATTCCTTTTTTTCCTCATGTTAACACTTACAATTATCAACTACATACATATACACACACACATTTACACTACATAAATATAATCAGATATCATCATGGCTGGGTTTCAGAAATGAAGATTTGAGAAGGGTTCTACCCACGCTTGCTACAAGTGTGCTGATGGCTAAAAAGGCCAATGCGAGATAGACAAGTCCGGTTGCAGAAGGCACAGCAGAAAGACTCCCAAGGTG